ATGATTATGAAGTCTGCCTGCTACTGGGAGGAAGGATCTGTGATGATGCTCCTTTGTGTGTTTAGGATGCAGCATTCAGTGAGTGCAGCAGCTTCATGCATGGGGTTGGACTCTTTATCCAAGTTATTTTTAGCGGACTCCTTCGGTCTCTCAGCACCTGCTGGGGTGGAGGGGACATCCTACTTTGGCTAAAGATGGGACGAACCGAGCTAAGTGAGGAGAAGCTAATGTCCACTGCACTACAATTACGCTAGCTAAAACAGTATGAGAAGATAAAGTACTTTACACTGATCTAAGTGAAGCTAAAAAAGAAATACTCCAGCTAACAAGTTGGGATGTAGGCAGGAATAAAGGGCTAAAATAAACTAAGCTTAGACAAATACCATTAAGATAAGCTAAGCTACACACAGACAAGGCAGGCAAGTTAAAGATAATCTAAAGTTAATATGATATAAAAGCTAATAATCAGTCAAATATAGGAGAGAATATAAAAAGCAAGAATAGAGGGATACAGTTGTAGCCATTCAAAATTTCCCCACTTTTCTTGATGGGTCCTTGGCTGGTCCCTTAAAATTACTTTTTAAACATCAATCTTTGTACTAAAATATCCTTTTTGTCATGATTTGTGGACATTAAGATCTAAAGAGAAGCATAATCTCCTGGTCAGACCATAATTCAGTGAAAGGGTGGAGTAAGAGTAAAAAAAATATGCACGCCCATGAGCCATTTTGAATGGCTGCTTCTGTCCACTTAGCCAGACAAGCTGAGAAAAGTCAAATTAGCAGAGCTAATCAATGGCTAACAAGGATAAAGCAAGTTCTTCTTTGCTCTGGGAGGCCTAAACCAGCTACCAACACTACTATAAGATGAGCTAGGATAGGATAGTGTAAACTTTGGTAAGTGAAGGTTTGCCAGAGAAGGAGACGTACTTAAACGATCCGAAATTTACATGAAGAACTTTAACTGAGGTGCAGGAGATCTTGGTCATTTTAACGACTCTTTTTTAATAAGACAACCCGATCACACACTGAAGCACCATCAACCATAAAGCAAAAGGTCAGAAACCTTTATGACGTCTGTTCTGTAAACGCAGGTAAAAGCAGCTAAAGGGCAAACAGCAGAGGCTCCATCTTCCGGTCCGGTAACCAGAGACAAGAGTGGAGCCGTAGCCATCACAGTTCACGCCAAGCCGGGCTCCAAACACAGCGGCATCACAGGTCGGCCCGCCGCCGCTCCGTCCCTGCCTCTGTGGGTCCAGCTGAAGGACCGCTCACACCTCCCTCTGCTGCTCTTACAGATGTGTGTGCTGAGGCTGTGGGCGTTTCCATCGCAGCGCCACCTACAGATGGAGAAGCGAACGCTGAGCTCGTCCGCTACCTTGCAGAAGTTCTGGCGCTGAAGAAAAGCCAGATTTCACTGGAAAAGGTTTTTTAAACTCTTTAAAACTTTTGCATTCTGTTTTAATTAATGTTTTTTTGGAACTAGTACTTGAAAGATTAAAAAACATGAAGAAAAGATGAGTTCATTTTTTAAAAATAACAGATCAGACTGTTATCCAAATAGTTTTTAGTGAGAAGATGTTTAAGCCACAATTATTGTCTCATCATTCAACAAACTCTTTCCTCCTTTAAAATCTTTAAACTCTGTGAATTTTACTCTTTTTTAAATTTGATCTTTCCTCTTGTCTCCATTCTGCTCCCTTTAGGGTTCTAGATCCAGAGACAAAGTCATAAGAGTGGACTCCTGTTTGGATCCAGAGGAGGTGCTAAGGAGGCTCAGACAGGCTGCCGGCTGATCGGCAAAGAGCAGATGGAAGCAGGACTGGATGGAGGACGGGTCTCAGATAGGTTCTCCTCCATCAGCGGCGCCAGTAATGGATGCGTAGAACTTCTGACTGTCCTCATCTTCTCCACCTCCCATTCTCAAATGGACTTGTCCTAAGTTGGAGGAACACAGATGAGCTTAGAAACAGGAAGTGAGGACACCAGAGGACAGTTTTCCAAAGGTCTCCTTCGTGTTAAATGTATTGGTTCAAGGAGAACAGAATTATCCTCCGATGATCCATAACAGCCTCAAACCCTGAAGACCAGTGCTGGCTTTTAGATTATCACTAGGTTTCTGTTTTCTAATGGAGGCCCAGTTCTGTTGTGACATTTTAACTTCATTCTATCTTTGAGGCTTTAAAAACAAACCCTGAAGAGGCACAATGTTGGTGCTTCAAACTAAAACACTTCTTGTTTTTTTATGAAATACTGAACTCTAATAAAAGTGAAAGATTCTCTTTGAGAAGCTGCTGAATGTTATTTCCTGTTATAATAATTTTCTGTTATCCTCTGAAAGGTAAGATGAAAATACTGCTGCATGTCAGGGTATTTGACAGACAGGCATTCCTCAGACGCTGCCTTTAGCAGGTTGGGGTCAAAATCTAAGAATGAATTGGATTCAGAAGGTCACAGCCCTGCAGATGGTGTCAGCTCGGGGTTTCAGACTGATGGAAAACTGTCGGACTAATCGTCGGAGCTGCGTTCAGCTTAGAAATCATGCGGATGAGTCGGATAGGAAGGCTGTAGGTTCCAAGGTGTTATGGGTCTACGCTGGAGTAGTTGATAACCTCCACTTCTTTAAACAGGAGTGTCAAAATGGTGGTCCAGCTGCCACTTTTAATAATTGAAATGATTTCATGACTATACACAACATGACAACTAATGAAGCAATATTATTGTAAATTTAATTAATGTAAATTTCTCCAATTAGTGAGATCAAAAGAGTATTATTATTATTAAATATACACTCACGGCCACTTTATTAGGTACCCCTGTCCAACTGCTCGTTAAAACTTAA